CTTGTGTGTGTAGCTTTATGTATGTGTGTTACAGATGCTTGAGAGACACACAAAGTTAAAAAGGGGGAGATTGTTGATGCAGCCTCAATGTAATAATGACAAAGTAGCACATGAAGTTATACGACAAAACAAGATGTTTCATCTAAGCTTTAAGTATATGCTTTGGTTCTAAAACTCAATCATCAAGGGGGAGATTGTTGGTGTTGTGAAGACCGAGTTTTAGAAGCTGCTGAGATCCTTGTTTCGAGGTTGAGATAGAGTTTGGAGATCATCAAAGTAATAATTGAAGTTCATGATAATTGAAGTTCATGATGTGTGAAGCTTGGATTATAAAACTCACTAAGAAAGGGAGAGATTGTTGATGTATTCTTAATGAGTTTTATATCAAGATGAAGAGAAACAGAAAGCGACATTTATAGAAGGCGGAGAGTGAAGATGAAGCTGCTGAAGTAGTCGTTGAACTAGTTCAGAGTAGTACAAGAAGTAGTTCAACAGAACAGAATTACGTGAAGCAAGTATTTGGAAATTGGTAAAGTCGGTCTATGGTTGTTGGCTGTGGATACTAGAAGCTTGGAGAAGATTCTAGAAGACTAAAGAGTTTCTTTTCATAGGAGGAAAAAGAAATATGAAGAGAAAGTACAATTTCTTAATCCTTAAAGAAAAAGAAAATTGTCTATTCCTATTAGTGTTAGAATAGGAAATCGGCTTGTTGTATAGACACGACCTATTTAGTATAAATAGGGTGTTTAGGTTTTAGAAAAGCTGAGCACAAAAGAGCAAGAGAATTCTTAGACATTAAGGTTATGGGGTTTCTTGTAAGAAAGCATAATGCTTAAGGGGGCTAAGGGGTTTGTCTTGAGAGAGTTTTTGATCGGGTTGTGATCTAAGAACGAGAGATTGAGAGAATAGAAAATATTTTAAGGAGAAACCTTGTAAACGTATTTTCTATTAATCAAAAAAGGAGTTTTTTAAAGAAACCCGTGTCTCAGTTTGTGACTCAGTTCTTGACTCAGTTTCTGCCTTACACCGTGAACTAGTTTCAATATACGATAGCTCTTGCGTTTTCACATAGTTCCCCTTTAAATACTCCCACTCGCTCATTTGCTTACTTAGAGTCGAAAAATTAAGAAATTTCTGACCTACCTGAAAAAGTGTTCGAAAACCTGAAACTGTAACCAAAGAAAATCCAAGTGAGTCTTTATCACGTTATAGGAGCAATGCCAATGGAACAAATGAACTCTAAAATTGTAATCTCATAAACAGAATTAACGGAAAAATATGTAAATAAAACATATGTGTAGCACGAGATAACTCCTAGTATATTAATAATTTAAAGATGAATATTCAACCGAATTAATGTAGCATAGAGATGGAATATTCATATGAGCTTATTATCAAAGAAGAAAAAACAGTTATATTATACCTTATGCAACAAGTGCCAAGGATGTCGATTTATTTTGTATGACTATGCAACAAAAACCAAAAATAAATCGAACAATGAAAAAGTTACGACCAATGGAATACACTACTTAAGATGATTGATGTAATAGTTAGTCCATCTAGGAATATATGCCATTTGTGACACATCTTGTGTATTGATTTTGATTCTTTCTTATCGAATCCCCCTCGGTGTCAACACGCTAGAATCCTCCCTTTTCTCTTAAAACTCTTGTTACTTTATTGTATCTATTTATTTGTGTAAGCCGAGTGTGGATAAAATCCCAAATGTTACAACACCCCAACTTTAAATCCTATCCACCATATTTTGTTTTAGCTTAGAATTTCTTCAAAAATAACTATTAACTAACATAGTATTTCTCTTTCGCCAGCTTATTTAACACCCTCGTTATTTATGAATCCAACATTTACATCTCCTCACTAATTTGGGAAAGTTCTTTTAGTCAAATGGTCATTTTTGGAGGCATTTAATATCGAAGTTCAACTTCATCAAATCACGTTACGACCAACATAATCAAAATTATGAGCTATGGATTAAGTTTTATCGATCGAAATGATATCATAAAAAAAATCTCCTTAACTAAATAAAATATACATCACAAACTATAATACAAACTTATACGAATCAAATCCTTTGTACGCGGGCCATATTCATGGGTTAAGGATTCTACTTGGTTTGTCATCTCAAAATTAATTCTCAATTTAGTATATAAAATGAAAGGTTGCTTCTCTCCCAAGAAACATATAGAATTGTTGACACAGCAAACATCAAATATAAAAAAGAGCGAAGAACAACTGAGTGAAGAAAACACACAAACAGCGTCCTCTCGCCGCAACCCAATTTGCTTTATTTACAAACATTCCTTCCTCCTAAAAGTAACCTTTCTTGGTTACATTACTACGATCTAATACTTTGGCTTTGAAAAAAGTGATTTAAAAGAATTCTTTTTTAATTGATTTGACTATCAACGACACATAGTGTAATTATCGAGTTTTTACAGGCAAGGATAATAAAGAAATTATAATGAGGAAAATAACGTTAGAGAGACTAACTTTCTTTAACAGCTCGTGCTTTCTCTATCTTTTTCATGTTTATTTTGAACTTACCTAAAGTAATATTTCTACTCATATAAATAACTTAATGAATAATAAATATGTTAAGCACAAAGTAATATTTGGATGGATGAAATATTAAGAAATTGATTTTCAATTAACTTTTCAATATGAGTAAAAGAAAAAGAAAATATATAGTGATTCTCAGTTAATATCAGTAAAGTGTCGCGAGTTTCCAATAATTTCTTAAGTTTTTGTAAGATAAAGATGAGATATATGAACAAATAATTTTTTATAAGTGTTGTTGCTTAAAAATGTACGTTAGATAGAATCATTTGATGTCAATATTTTGGTACTATGGATACAGCCATGACTTATAAAACCAAACCACCAGAAAAATGAGAAGTAGGTAAGTAAAAATTGTTAAAAAACCTTTAACTAAAAAAAAGAAAAAAATGTTATGTATAATGTGTTCATAAACAGCACCAACTACACAATACTATTTTATGAAGACAATTATGGCATTGAGAGAATAATAAGAAGATGATATGTCAAACTGATTAATGCTTAATCATTCCAATATCATCCTGTAAATGTTGAAGTAGCCGACAACAAGAATTGAAAATCGGACAATTTAAGATAACGTAGAAAAAATCATGTTCGAAATGGTAAAAGTTTATTTAAACTTAATTTGAACCGATTCATGTAGGGGAAGAAGAATGAACGTAGACATGCCTAAGTGAATCTTGGTATGATAACTTTTGAATTATTGAAGAAAAAAAGAATAAAAGCGTTAGAAAGAATAAATTGGCATTATAATAAAGAATAAATTCTGAGTGAATTTAGTATTATATAGTTTTTTGTAACACTTTAATACCGTCCGCGTTATGACTGCCCCATATGGCCCTTAAGACATTAACTAGAAGAGAACACACCCGGGGGAGTTTCATCTAATTTTTTGGATACTAGGCTTTTGATATATGTTTTTTTTTTTTAAAGTCTCTTTATCTTTACTTTGGTGTTAACCAAATTCCATTTGTATATACTCTTTGGTAAAAATTTATCTGTTTTCTTGTTGATCGATAACTTTAACATTTTAATAAAAAGAAAAGAAAAATTAAAGTGTTACAGTATTGCCTTACGCCAATGTATATTCCCGATGAAATTATAGAAAAATGACAAACTGTAATTTTATATAAGAAATAATAAAAGAGTAAACTTATTATTTACGATATTTTCTCCCATATTATTTTTTTGAAAGAAACCATTTTTTCTTACTTCTCACTAGATAATAGCTGTCGGAAAAGAGAGAGAGTATGTAGAACAATACTAAACCAAATTTTCCTTCTATTTTTTTCTGTTTGTTGTCACTAGAAAAATGATTGCTTGATAACCATCTAAAACTGTGTATGATAATTTTTCTAATGTTAAATTTGTTGCTCCGTAAAAAAAAATTATTTGCAAAATTTATGAGAAATGAAGGCGCTATTGTCTGTAAATGAATAAAGAGTACTGAAAAAATAACTAAAAAATAAACAAGCAAAACATAGTAGATAAGATGATAAAGATTTTATCAAATTTGGTTTAGTTTTCATTCTTTTCACTTATGTTTTTTTTTCATTATATGGATAGATGATGAAATATACGTGTATAATTCTAAAATCAGTGAATTCTTATTGTTGCTCAATTTGATCTACAAGAGATTATATGTAAACTAAATTTGAATTTCAAAATATCTAATATGTCTTTCGTTTATTAGATTTTAGATAAGAAATTTCTTAATTTTATAGTTTGAATTATACTACATTGTTTTTTTTAAACATCTAACACAAAATTATTAGTTAATTATTGAATGAACATATGTTTTAATATGATTGGTAAGTTGTTTTGACATTTTCCCATATCCACACATAACTTTATAAATTATATATAGTGTACTATTTGTATTCCATTACAAGATAATAGAAACGAAACGGATAATATGAAAGATTTCGAAATCCATCAACGAGCTAGGTGTGAAGGAACATGAATGAAGGACAGAATTGGAACAAATGGTTATTGGGGGGCAACACAAGAGAATAATACCCTTCATCATCCTCTTCTCTTTTATACCTACAATAATGCAATTGAGAATCACTTTAAGCCCTCAAGGACGCTCTCGTTATTTCCTTCCTAATGATCCTTGATGACTTTTTTCTCCTTCACATGAAACAGTTTCAACTTTTACATTAATCGGTATCGGATGTCTACTTCACCGTAATGTTTGAACGTTGATATTAAGATTATTTTCGTAAAACCATCACAAGACAAAACATGGTGTCACACAAACACAAAAAGGTCTTAGATGATCCAAAGAATGTATTTGCACCCTTTGAAAATTATAATGTACATCATTCAAATTAATCTACTTGTCTTGAAGTCTTCTTACAACAAGGCTTGTTTGTCCGAAATTCATATCTTTAGTTGTATTTCATTTACTATATCCTCATGTTGCAAAGAAAGTTGATGGAATCAGAATCTATCTAAGTATACATTCTCTGATCATTAAAGCCTATAAAATGCCATGTTCCTCAAACTAAAAACTTCACCAATTCCTTTCGCTCACCAGTCTCTTGTCTTCTCAGGTTCGCTCGTTTTTTTCCTTAAATTTTAGCTCCTTCATAAGGTTTTTTTTCACACCTAAAATTTAGATCTAGTAAGTTGCCTGAACGCTACTAGTTAACGTTTCAGGTGGTAAGAGATACATAAAGAGAAAGATGAGTTGGACCGGAGGAGATTGGCTATGTGGTGCGTGTCAACACGCAAACTTCAAAAAAAGAGAGTCATGCCAAAAATGCGGATACCCCAAATTTGGAGGGGTAGATGTGTCAACGTACTTGTACAACAGGACCGAAGTTATGGCTGGTGATTGGTATTGTGGTGCATTGAATTGTGGGAGCCACAATTACGCAAGCCGAACAAGTTGCTACCGATGTGGAATGGTTAAAGTCGAGTATACGGAACAGTACTACGGTGCTCAAATGGTTGCTTACGGGAATGATGGCACAGCTTGTCCTCCCGGATGGAAAACTGGCGATTGGTTTTGTCCTAGGGTCGGTTGTGGGGTTCATAACTACGCAAGCAGGGCTGAATGCTTCAAATGCAAGACAACAAGAGATTATGGTGAGTCAATATATATTCTCTTTCTTCTTTTAGAATGTTATTCTATAGATTTCGAACTTTTGAATTGATATCTTTTCCTTTTTCTGATCTCTAGGTGGCGTCTAAATGGATGAGGAAGAGCTTATGAAGAATCTCTTGTTTTAATTGTACCTTACAACAAGTGTTTCTACTTTCTAACATGCATGACGCTTTCTTACGTTGACTTGAAATGTGTACCAAGTTGAAACTCGTGCAAATTAATGTAACTACAAATTGTTGCAAGCACGTGATTAAAACAATTAAGGCTTCAAATGAGACCTAGCTAGATAAACAAGTACAATAACAATCAAGATACATGGTACATGGATTGCTAACGAGTTTTTTGTTTTCATTATATATACCATCTCTAGATTTTAAAACTGCGGAAGCCAAATCTACTCTTTTGATCTACTCTATTGTTTTGCTTTATGAGTACATTAACATAAGTACGTATCTCCGACAGCTATTGTCAAGCTCCTACAATAACAATGTATTAGTAAGTATAGACTTAACTATTAGTCTATATGACCGGTTTGTGTAAACCGGAATCAAACCTAAACTCTCTACTATATAAAGAGAGTATCATGTAACAGAATCTTTCAAGTTGAATAACAAACTTTCTTCTTCTTCCTTGTTTTCTCTCGAGAACTTGCAACTACTATCATGGTATCAGAGCGATGAATCTCAAAATTCATCAGATCCGACCTAAATTTCTTCGTTTCTCTCCGTTTCTTCAGCTCTAATCAAGTTTCTGATCTTGCAATGGTTTCCGTGGAGAAATTCCGGCGTCGCACAAGAAGATCGACTAAGAATTCAGCTGATAAAACACCAGATCGCGTTCCATCTTCACCAATTCCACCGATTTCACCTCCGATTCAACCAAATTTCGTTACAAGACCACCGTCGATCTATCCGATGCCGCAATTCGATTTCACGGATGCTCACTACTCATCTTTTGCGCTTACAAATGGTGACTGTCCTGGAAACACTCTCGTCTCTGAGGTATTGGATGGATCTAACTTTTTGTCTTGGAAAATAGCGATGTTTATTGCGTTAGATGCTAAGAATAAGATCGTATTTGTTGATGGAAGCTTACCTAGACCTCCTGAATCCGATCTCAGTTTTAGAGTTTGGTCAAGATTTAACAGTATGGTTAAGTCTTGGATCTTGAACTCTGTCACGAAAAAAAATTTACAAGAGCAAACTGAGGTTTAATGATGCTGCTGAGATACGGAAGGATTTGGATACAAGATTTCATATAACAAATTTGCCAAGATCTTACCATTTGACTTAGCAGATTTGGAGTTTGCAACAAGGTACACTGAGTCTTGCTGATTACTATACTGCGTTAAAGACTTTGTGGGATGATTTGGATGGTGCTAGCTGTGTTAACACATGTAAGAACTACAAATGCTGCAATGCTACTGCCTTGGTCTCTGAACATGCAAAGATTGTTTAGTTTCTGTCAGGTTTGAATGAATCTTACTCAACAATTCGGAGTCTGATAAAGAAAACAATACCAGATTTGGCAGAGATTTACAACCTCTTGGATTAGGATCACAGTCAGCGCAACATAGTTACAGTACCAACCAATGCTTCCACATTTCTTGTTTCAGCCACTCAGAATGATCAGTTTGCGGTGAATGCTACTCGATCTTATCCGGCTAATTCAAAACCAAAAATTCAATGTTCTTGTTGGGGTCGGATCCCACACATTTTCAGTAGGATCCACTTGGATCTGTCCACGTCATTATTACATAATAATCTTCTTAGAATTAAAGACATTTTATTATAAAAATCGAGCTTAACCAGTCGGGAGTTCGGTTCAGTCTAGTAAAAGAGCTCGATCTTTGCCAGTATGGGGTTCGCTTTTATTCGACAGACAGTTCGTATAGAGAAAGGCCGAAGCAAGGAGAATATTGTTCGAGGCTCGCGGCAGCGTCAAAACGCGGGAGTTCGGAGTCAGCAAGAAAGAGTTCGGAAGATCCATGCGAAGCCCAAGATAGTTCAAATTCAAGCCGTTTCGGTCAAGTTGTAACCTACATTATTAATGCGGATCAATGCGATTATGAGTAGTAAATGACCGCATTGATCATGTTTTCTGTATAAAAACAACCTCAAACGCATGTGTTTGAGAGAAAAGAAACTTTTTTACTCATTAGTTCTAAGCAATACAATAAACTTTCTCTCTTCATTACTTTCTTAAGGCATTTTGTACTTCATTCTTATCAAATTTCTTTACTTCTTTTCTTGGTTAATTTCTCTTTCGAATTCTCATATTCATTTTCTGATTTTACAAGAGTTTTTCTCCACTAAAATACTTAAAGACAATCGAGTGTGAATCCTACATCCACATTTTGGCGCCGCCTGTGGGGACTCTACCACAAAACTCTTTAATCCTTTTTTCCCAACCAAGAAACTATGGCTGATCAGCAAGCATTGAGCGATGCAATTGCCTTGCTTACTCAGACAACCACCGATCTGATCAGTCAGATGGGTACACTTGTTGGTGCCAACACCACTCTTAGTGAAAGGTTGAACTCAATCGAGCAAACCTTAACGAGTGTCCAAACCACCCAGACAAATTTTTCAAACGCGCAGAACGTTGTTTCAAGCCGTTTAGATAATTTGTCCTCAACGCGAACAACAACGCATCAGCGCAGGCTATTCGCGACTCCCGCACAAAACAGGCCCGGGGTTACTCAAACTCCTCCAGTAGGCCAGCCAGCTAGTATTAGCAATCCGGCAGCCGCAGGAGATGGGATTAACCCAACCGAGGAAGAAATTTCCCAGGGTCAGGGAAATCTTTCTATTGACGACGGATTCCTTATGGAAGATCCTGATGTCACCCTATCAGATGATTTCATCAAAGTTCGTCAAGAGCTTAATGAAATGAAGTCAAAATTTCATCAGGCGACCAGTTCGGCGTCTGAGATCGATCGAGTAATCGAAGAAACTTGTCGAACACCCTTTACCTCGAGCATCTCGAACCTTCGGATCAAAGATTCTCGAAAGCTTAAGTTACCAACTTATGATGGTAAAGGAGGTCCTAAAAATCACCTCGCCGCTTTTCAGATCGCCGTAGACACAATTGATCAAGAACCAGGCGAGGAAGATGCCGGATTTTGCAAACTATTTTCCAAGAATCTTTCCGGACCGGCACTGCTCTGGTTCACCCAATTAGAACCAGAAACTATTGATAGTTTTAAGGAATTATCCTCTGTATTCCTAAAACAATATTCCATGTTCATGGAAAAGGCAACTTCTGATGCAGATCTTTGGAGTCTAACCCAAGGTCAGAATGAACCACTTCGCAAATATATCGCTAAATTTAAAGAAGTAATAGCCAAAATTCCTGGGGTATAGCATGTTGCTGCCCTATCCGCTTTACGGAATGGACTCTGGTACGAATCCCGATTTCGGGAAAAACTCATTGTCAATCGTCCAAGCACCATCCAGGATGCTCTATTCCGAGCTAACAATTGGATGGAGGCAGAGGAAGAAAAACTTAGTCTCGCTAAGAAGCATCGTCCAGCTAAATTAGTCATTGCTAATCCGACGAAAAAGTTCGAACCTAAAGATCAAAAAAGGTTCGGAGTTAATCCTGCTACTAATGCTGTAGGGAAACCCTTCCCAAGCAGAGGAAGATACAATCCTCCTAATTCTTGGGTTAGAGATGAAAGTGCCTATTGCGTTTTTCACAAAGTAAACGGGCACTCCACCAAAGATTGCAGCATACTCAAAAAGCACCTCACCGAGCTGTGGGCAGCTGGAGAGCTCGCTAATTTCAATATGGAGGAATTTGTTGATTTTTATCACAAAGAAAAAGAAGAATCCGAAGTTTCTAATCCTCCTGAAAAGAAACATAAGCCCAATGGGCCTGGAACTCCGAACACTCCTAAGAAAAGGATCGATGTTATAATGGGAGGATCCAAATTATGCCGAGATTCGATCAGATAAATCAAAAAGCATAAAAAATCAGCAGCAACTCAAACTGCTATGGGTTTTCAGTCAAATGAACAAATACCTTCTATCTCTTTCGACAATTCGGATGCCCAAGGAGTAACAGGGCCTCATGACGATGCTCTTGTGATAACCTTAGATGTTGCGAACTTCGAAGTGACAAGGTGTCTAATTGATACTAGAAGCTCGGTAGATCTCATATTTCTAAGCACTTTTCAAAGAATGGGAATCAGTAAAGCCGACATTATCGGTCCGCCGGCACCATTAGTAGCTTTCACGAGTGACACATCTATGTCCTTAGGAAACATAAAACTACGAGTGCTCGCCGCATGGGTTCCAAAAATTATAGAATTTATTGTTTTCGACCGACCGGCCGCTTACAACATAATTCTCGGAACTCCGTGGATATACCAAATGAAGGTTGTACCTTCAACTTACCACCAATGTGTGAAGAAATTTCCAAATCCCGGAGGAATCGGAACCATTCGAGGAGATCAGGAAACGTCGCGTTCTTGCTACCTCATGGGACATCGCTTAAAGCTCAAATAGCAATTAATGATAAACGCTAAGCAGAAAAGCATTTTGCGTTACCCAAGTGGTCTCAGTTCGAATGAAGTTACCACAGAAGTTGAAATTGATTCCGAATTTCCAGATCGAAAAGTAAAGATCATCACTACTTTAGATTCAGAAATCAAAGATCAATTGGTAATATTTCTAAAAGAAAATAAACGTACTTTCGCCTGGTCGGCGAAAGATATGCCCGGAATCGACAAAAGTATCATTACCCATGAATTAAACGTCGATCCCAGTTTTAAACCAATAAGGCAAAAAAGAAGAAAACTGGGTCCTGACCGAGCTCAAGCGGTCAATGACGAAGTTGATAAGCTTTTGAAAATTGGTTTTATTAGAGAAGTAAAATACCCGGACTGGTTAGCAAACCGCGTGGTAGTCAAAAAGAAGAATGGGAAGTGGAGAGTATGTGTCAATTTCACTGACACTAACAAAGCATGTCCGAAAAACAGCTTTCCTCTCCCTTATATTGATCGGCTTGTAGAATCAACAGCCGGAAACGAACTCTTGTCATTTATGGATGTATTTTCTAGATATAATTAGATCATGATGAATCCCGAAGACGAAGAGAAAACGTCCTTCATAACATATAGAAGAATCTACTGTTACAAAGTTATGCCATTCGGTCTGAAAAATGTCGGAGCAACATACCAGCGTTTAGTTAACAAAATGTTCGCAGAACATTTGGGCCAAACGATGGAAGTCTATATCGATGATATGCTCGTGAAATCTCTTAAGAAATCCGAGCACATC